ACTAAGACCGAGAGAGTGGGAAAAATAAGTTTGGGACGTAGGTCGAGCGTACTCCTAGGTATGCGCAACGTAGCGTCGAAGATCCCTGATGCATGCATGGCGAAGTAGTACGCCCATCCTAAAGGGGTTGTACGCCTAGCGTACACAACGTTGTTGACTTTTGTTGACTTTTAGGGTTTGGTCAAACTATGGACTATAGAGGCCATGGAAGGGTAAAATGGTCTTTTAGCATTCTGAGAATTGTAGTAGGTTTAGCCTAGCATCCTTGAGGGTTGTTTATTAAATAAAGATAATTATGGTATATGTTAGGCGGAGGCTAGACCGGTGATTCGAGTATGAGGCATATTTACTTTGCTTACGAGGTGAGTATTCTCACTATACATACATGAGTGGTACTACTGAGTGACCGGAGGGTCTTATTTGATTTATGTTATATTATGCATTTTGTCTTTGTGATATATGTTATAGTATTCTGTGCATTCTGAGATCGGACAGGAGGGTCCAACCCGAGCTGTGAGACCGAAGGGTGCTCACTGAGATACAGGACTGGAGGGTTCAACCCGAGCTATAAGACTAGAGGGTCCTCATTGAGACACATGACCGGAGGGTCCACACTGAGCTGTGAGACCGGAGGGTCCTCACCGAGATGCATGACCGGAGGGTCCATGCTGAGCTATAGCCATGAGAGGCTTATTATTTGTGTATGTGGTATTTTGGGGAACTCACTAAGCTTCGTGCTTACCGTGTTGTGTGTTATGTGTTTTAGGTACTTCTTAGGATCGCGGGAAGGCGCCGACTTAATTGTACACATTTGTTCGAGACTATGTTTGAGGATTCTGGGATACTATTATTTATTTTGTGGATTTGTGTTTGACATTTGAGACAATTGTGGTTTTTGAGAAATATGACATGAGTTTATATATGTTTTAAAAATGAAAAAAAAATGTTTGAAAATTTACGGTGTTACATAATCACGATTCGCTAAATACCAACCATCAACCGTAGACATCCATTTGTGGTATGAGCCTCTACAACCAACATATGACCATGCTCCATCTACCTCCTACAAGGAGCACACAATATTTGTCAAAAACACATCTTGTCATAGTTTTTTACACCAAGAGATAGATGTTGTCATTTTGTACCAAAACTATCAATATCACCCTTATGGGAGACTTACGTAAAATCATAACAACCACTATACACTCTTGAGTTTACACCATCTAACTGGGCGTATGAGTGTAACCACTAACCACAAGCCTATCATGGATTGCGAGTTTATGACTCTCCCTGAATTTCTAGTTGCGATCAAATACACATGAAAATTATAGGACAATACAAAAAAGCACAACTATTTATCTACCATCATTCGCAAAAACCATTATATTTTGTTTATATGCAGAAAAAACCCTTATATTTTCAATTACCGTTGAAATTTACCCAAATATCCATTTTTTAAGAAGTTATTAGGTTGTTTTGTGACATGACATTTATCTTGTTCGTTTTTTTAGATTAACACATAAAAAAGCGACGTCACTTATTTTTTCTTGAGTAAATGATCGTTGAATAAATGATTATTTTTTATGTTTTACCTTAAACAATATACAACGCCACTTATTTTTGTTACATGTTAACCTAAAAATGAAAAAGATAAATGTTATGTCATAGGACAACCAGAAATTTTTTAAAAAACTTGGATATTTAGGTTAATATGAAAGGTAATTGAAATTGTAAGAGTTTTTTTACATATAAACAAATATAAGAATTTTTCTGAATGCAAATAGATAAACGATTATAACTTACATTTTAATGTACACTCATCAACCAAAAGATCCCTCTTTAGCAACTTGAAGCACTATCATTCTAAACTCCCTCTCGCATTTGTTTAGATTACTAAGAGCATTGAGTGTGAACAACTAATTATAACACCAAATTGGTGCCATCTCTCATACCACATATGCAATGGTGTTATAACACCAAGTGGAGAAATGATCACCATGTTAAAACATGTTATAACACCAACTTTTTTCCATTTCATAAAATTTTTTTGAGTTTTTTTTCTTTTAGTTTAATCAAATATATTTTAAATAAAACATAATATATAAATAAAACATAATACTTTAAAAAAAATATAACATAGTATTTAAATTGCACATAACATCCAAATTGAAAAAAAAAACTACAATAAAAGAAATATTTTATTTTTCCTAAACTACGCTATTCGTTATCGTTACCGTGGAAGATATAATCCGCCAAGTCCTCTTGAATTTGTCTGTGTTTATTTGTTTGTGTAATATTTTATTTTTCCTAAACAATGCTATTCGGAACGTGTATGTGCTCTGTTGGATATAGTGTGTAATATTTTGTCATTTATCTTCTACTACCATGTTATGCATTATGATACATGCATACATGATATATCGTAGAGTTTATAAGTCCAATGGTCGTTCTGCATGTTCAACTATGTGTCAATTCGTCTTTAGCACTCCAAAAGCACGTTCCACATCCTTACGTGCTGTTTGTTGTCTTCTCTTGAAAAACATGTTTCTTTCTTCAACCAGGTGTCGGAATGCCTTCACGAATGTGAAATATTGAGGAGATATTCCATCTGTAAGGTAATACCCATATTTATATTCGTTTGCATTCATTGTGAAAGGAGCATCCGAGGTATTTCCGTTCAAAAGATCGTCGAATATTGGCGACTGATCAAGAACATTGATGTCGTCGTTGGAACCCACAACCCAAATAAATGCATGCCAAATCTATAAATATTTAGAAGCAACAACCTCTAAAAGTAATGAAGGCGGTCTGTGATGCAGGGGCGGACCTAGGAGGTGTCTCAGTGTGGCACCGACAACACCTACTTTTTCTGTTTGCAGTGGATTTTTTTTTTTATTTTTCAATTTTTTTTACCTATTTTTTCTACATCGGCAACACCTATTTCAACCTCGGCAACACCTATTATGTATTCCTACGTCCGCCCCTGCTGTGATGACCACTTGCGTATTGCCCTTTCTATGCCACTGGATAATTTTTCCATTTCCAGTGTGTGCAATCAATACTTCCAATCATTTCGGGAAACCCATGACGTTCTTCATGCGTCGCATACAATTATTGCAAATCATGTAACAAATGTTTCCGCAAATATACATCTCAAAATGTTTCAACAACACCTCTTGACAATGGTGTCGGGTGACTCCCCCATAACCATCAAACGAATGGCCGCAACACATTTATGCAACATTGTAAACCATCGTCTACCTCTAGCATCATATCTCAATTGAAAAAACTCATACCTAAAATATAAATTAACTACAATTTAAAAATATAGTACATTTGTATTAAAATTAAAGAAACATGTATTACATTTGTATTTATTTTGTATAAAAAGTATAGTAAATATGAAATAAGATTAAAGAAACGATATCGACTTTACAAGGCGTTGACGATCCGTAGGAACACATTTCTACTCAAACGAAATCTTCTTTTGAAGTCCTTCGACCCGAATAGACAATTATCTGCAAAGTAATATCAATATAGATGTTCGTGTCCTTCCTCGCGATTTCTGTTTAACATTGCATGTAGTGTTTGTAGCAGGGTTGTGTCTAGTTGTAGTAGCTCGTTAGCGTAATAATGATACTTCATCTTGAAGAATATATCGTCATCAGAATCATCGGACGAGTCAGAAGGAACCATAATTTTTTTTGAGGATAATTGAAATTATATAGAGAGAAAGAGAGAAATTGTGTGAAAATATTTATAAAATGGTAGATATTTATTCTATAAATGAATTTTTTTAATAGTTATTTTTTTTAAAAAAAAAAAAAATCACCGGTTGGCAACGGTTGGTCAACGATTAATATTAAAATTCAATCCGTTTATTTCGGTTGTGATGCCAACGAGATACACTCTTAACGAGCTATAACAAGAAAAAGGGGGGGGGGGGGGGGGGGGAGGTGTTGGTGATTTTGATCATCAATGTTATTTAAGTGTAATGAGATTACTTTGTGTTGACAAAAAATGATCTTGATAAATATTAAACAAGTAAGGAAGGTGTGGAGTACACACTTGTTTAAGTTTGATCAAGTTTCAAAGTACACTGTCATTTAGGGGCGAAGCCCCTGAACGAACGGAGGTCCGGGGGCAGCGCCCCTGGGAGCGGGGTCCAAGGGGCGGCAGCCCCTGGCTGGGATCGAAAACTGTCATATAGGGTATGTTACTATATTAAAAAATGTATCAGAAAATTGATTTTCCAGATAATTGACCCTTGGTTTGACCTTTATCCATATATCCGTTTTATGACAGTTTTTATGGTTTTATGACAGTTTTCAGACAAAGATATTAAAGTTGGTTTTGGTCTCATTTTCTGGTACATACGAAAATATCATCAAACATTCTCTGTTCTTGTCTCTCTGAGTCTTATCCAATTGAAGATTTGGGAGTACCACCAAATACTTCGATTTGAAAGTGATAATCACAATTCTCAGAATTTTCAAGCCTTTCCACACCCAAATTTCTAACAGGAGGGGGGTTCCTCATTACAACGTCGTTGTGGCCTTGCCACGTCTACCATAACGAGCAACTTTGTGTCGATACCGTCTCATCTAACCTTTGACAAATGCAAACTAAATTCCATAGCTATAAAAATTTAAATATAAGATTAACTAAATTATTGAAAATTAACCTAAAAAAACGAAATAAGATTGATTCGGGTTAACCGAATTATCTACACCAAATAATTAATAGTACATCATTCGGTTTATATTGGTTTTTAGGTTTCGGTTATATATAAGAGTTTTTAAGTTTTTTTGTATTTTTTGTAATATACGATAGGAAATTGAGGGAATCAATCTTATTCTAGTGGATGATAAATTAAGCAAAAAACTTGGAGGAGGCAAAATCACGAGTAATTAAATCTTTCTTTCCCCGCTACTATTTAATTCTTACATAGATTCATCGGTATTTTTGAAGCTTTCTCTCTTCCCAACCATGGCTATCACCTGATTTATTAATAACCAAAGGGGAAAAAGCTCTTTGAACAGAACGCGAGAGCGAGAGCGAGAGAGAAAGAGATCAAGGGTGCTCTCAAGCATTCATGGTCTCAGTTTCACGAATCCATTACATGAAAAACAACTTCTCTTTTCTTGATCTCCAAAAATGGCAACTTTGCAAGAAACCCATCTCGATTTGGAGGCCGGTGGAGGCGGCGGAAACCATACCCACCGTCAATCAATCACCACCAGTGTTGGAGACCGTAGCTCACGGTCATCGGATGCTAGTGAAGAAAGTACTACAGTCACCACTGAGATTGTAGGTGTTGTGTCGTCGTCGTCATCTTCGGAGGAGGAGGAAAAAGGGAGGCAATCCTCTGTGTCAGATTTCTCGGTGGTGGATCTGGAAAACGGTGGTGGTGGTGGGGTCCATGGTGATGGGGGCAGTAAGGTACATTTGTCGAAAATTGAAAGGGATTGTAGAATTTGTCATTTGAGTCTTGATTTAACCAATCCAGAATCTGAAAATGGGATTCCCATTGAGTTAGGTTGTTCTTGTAAAGATGATTTAGCTGCTGCTCATAAACATTGCGCTGAAGCTTGGTTTAAGATCAAGGGCAACAAGTAAGTACTCACCAAACTCATCTTCCAAGATTCCATTTATATAACTTTATACACATACCAATTTGGATCTTTCCATCTTTCATACTCAAAGCCATGATAAATCCTCTCAAGATTCAATTTTTAGCGACTAAAATCAAGATTCATTTGCTTCTTTCTTGTATATATAATGTCAAGTGCTCAAGTTCCTTTTTAATTGATCTGGGTCTTTCTTCTGTATTAGAAATAACGTTGTCTATGTGTTTTTTTACGCGTTTTTGCCATTCTAAGGTTGTTGATAGTTGGATTTGGTTGACCAAAAACTTACCTTGAACAACTCTGTTTCTCTTTTCAATTATTGAGGTAATTAAGAGAAGTCCAGATGCAATGTAATAAGAAGCAACAAGTAACAGATTTTGTTGAAAAAAAAAAAACGTTTAAATGGTGAAGAACGAGGAGTCAACACTTTAAAAATAGAATAATTCAGAAAATAAAGTGTTAAAAAGCAGATTATAATGAAATGAACCGAATCTAATAGCTAAAAAAGGAGTCGACACCCTGTGTTCCTGTGTGTTTTTTATGCATGAAAAAAACTTTGAATTGGTTTGTTCGGCTTTAATCGCGTTGGAATTTGCTTTCTTTCTTTTCTTTTTAGCTTTCTCTTTTGTTATCTGCAAGTGGGCTTTTGACTCGAATCAACATAATCGCTTTTAAAAGCGTAAAGACTCTTTCGTATTACACTTGTTCATATGATATGACATATGATTCTTGTATTTATCCTTAAAGATGGCATCTTTCCTAATGTTGGAATCCCGGTTTCATGGACAAAGTCACCTTCGACGATCTTTTCAGTAGTTGGTTTAATTTGTTTGGCAATTTTGGAAGTTTTCATCGCATCAGGTGCTATACAACACTTAATAATAACAATAATAGTAATTACACTATTTCTTAGTTTCATAATACGTAAGTGCTTCAAGCTTTGATGCTTTTAGGGGCCTTCTTTTCTTCTTATTCTTATTCCTTTTCTTGCTTTATGTTCTCGTCTTATTGAATGGAAGTAAATTAGCTCGAAGTGCATATCAAGTTAAATACAAGTCATTGGGTGGGATAAAAAATTGTAATTTTTGTGATTTGTCCCATCAACACCTGTCCCAAACACAGTACAACCTGTTATGTTATGTCATGTCTGTTGTGTTATCAGTTATGATATGCTAACTTGACATGGTACAATCTAAACCCTAGAACATGTGAGATTTGTGGATCAATTGCTCATAATGTTGCTGGTGCGAATGAGGCTGAATTAATGGAACAATGGAACGAAGCTAACGATGCCACGTCAGCGGCTACTGCGCCTGGTGGGACCACCGCCACCTCATCAGAGAGTCGAACCTTCTGGCAAGGCCATCGGTTCCTCAATTTCTTGCTTGCTTGTATGGTTTTCGCCTTTGTCATCTCGTGGTTATTTCATTTCAATGTCCCTTCATGAAAAAAAAAAAAGTCGCATAAAGTAGTTGATTCAATCGAAGAAAAAACATTCAAAATGAGGTATTTCTATGTAGCACCAAGATATTTAAATGCAATTATATTGTTGTTTGTTTGTTGTTGTGGTGGTGGATAGGCATGTATGTCAGTAGAGCTTGTATTGATTTTTATATCGATTGTAACTTTAAGATGTGTACGGATTTTTATTACTTATATAGTTGGCATTGTTTCTTGTACGTCTAAAGAAGTTGAGATTTCGTATTGTGGTTCATAGTTATATGAAAACTAAAGAAGCTTTATAATACTTATTTTACCATTTTATGATGCGTGATGGACAATTTTTTATTTTTGTTTTTTATCTCAGTGAAAGGAAAGAGGCTATATACCCTTCTTTTTTTAGTAGGTATATACAGGCTAGTTGATGTATGACCTTTTCGAGGGCTTTTGTCGGTTATTTGTTTTATTTTCCGACTTGTTTTCAGGGTTGTGAAAGACAGATCACGTGGGTTTCTGGTTGTTTCAAGGCTGTTGTCCCTTTGGAAGGACACTTTGTTTGGAGGTGTTGTTGAATGGTGAGTGGTCTCCTTGGATTTTCTTCATTAGGTAATGTGGGTTGTTTTTCCTCGGGTTTGTTTTGGATGCTTAAGCAATTAAGCATTGCTTGCTTCTTTTGGGCTTTTGAGTGTGACCTTGGGGTTTTCTTCAGTGGCTTATGTTTATGTGGGTTGATTTTATTTGACACTAGTCGATAAAATGGGGGCCTTTAGGAAGTCTTGGATCTAGACCTGCACAAAAAGACAGGTCTCGGACCGGACCAAAGAAAAATGATCGAGACCGAACCGGTCTAAAATGAGACCGGTCCTAAAAAACCGGACCGAAAAAGTAGGGGTGACAAATCGTGATATCGTTTTGTGTTTCTGTCTGATACGATACGATAAAGTTTTTTGTAACACGAACACGATACGACATGATGTCGTGTTTTTTAATTAACACGAAAACGAACGAATTAAAAAACGACAAACACGACAAGATACGACAAATATAACATATACTAAAAACTAGTTTATTTAATGAATATTTTATCACATACAACACGATAAACACGACAAACGCGAAAAATACGATAAAGAACTGCTAAATCGTGTCAATTTCGTGTCGAATTTTGAACACGAATACGACACGAAACGTCATCGTGTTTTTTTTACAGCTAACACGAAAACAAATTCAAATTTTAGTTTAGTCCAAATTCCGTTTCGTGTCATGTATTTTTGTTGTGTCGTGTAATAAATTGTCACCCTTACGAAAAAGACCAGCTCGAGACCGTCCTGGACCAATCCGAAAAAGACCGGACCTTCCGAAAAAGACCGAATCGTTCCAAAAACTGTCTTATAAAGACCGGACCGGTCTGAGACCGAACGAGATTAGTCTGGAAAAAAATGAACTAGTAACCAAACTTTATAAATTTATACCTTTTGTGTTAATTATACGAATTTTAATCAAAAGCTATCTAATTTATTTTATTTTTTTCTTTTATTAAATTTAAATTATCATTTTTAAGAAATTTTAATTTATCATTTTTAGTGATAATCTTATATTTGATAATGGAAAAAACTCGAAACCAAAACAAAAGAATCGAAAAATACCGATACCAAACAAAAAAAACATGTAAATCGAACCGAAAAGGCGCACAGAAAGACTGAGAGACGAGATTGAAAAAGACATGTCCGAAAAAAGGCCGGATTGAAAAAAGACCGAACATGACCGGTTCGAAAAAAATTGGACCGTCTGAGACCGACCTCAAAAGGATTAGACCGTTTCGAGACCGACGCCAATGTGCAGCTCTACTTGGATCCAAGCAAATATTTTTATTTAATATTGCAACTTCATTAAATAATATATTTGTTCACCTCTTGGATATTGATGTGAACATTTTTAAACCCGTATTTGTATTGGAATTTAAGAGAAAAATGACTTGGTCTTTAGCCTCATTCAAATCGGGCGTAGGGCATTAATCAAGTGTATTGTCAATTAATACCAGAAGTATTCATTCTACTTGGTACCTATATCAACACAAAATTCTGACCTAAAGCATGACACGAAATATCGTTACAAGTATTTAAATAAGAAAGTAATACACTTGTAAGTTTTACAACACTATTTTGTAACTCTCTAAATCCATGCATCATCGATACAATTTTGATATAAAAATGTGTAACAAAAAAGATGCACCATAACAAATAGAACAAATAGGGTAGAAAGTCAAAATTTTCACAACAATATTATTAGAAAAAAAGATGCACCATAACAAATAGGGTCTACCTTTACAATAAAACTCAAGGACTACACTTTTGAAAACTAAAGACAACCACGAGAATTCTTGTCTTTGGGTTCTCCATGCTACTTCACTCTTTACATCACACTTAGGAAATATTTCATTATAGTTTCCAAGTGTTAATTCCCATCCCTAGAGTGTCTTTCATTCTATTTCATGTTTGTCCTATAGTTTTACAATATATATATATATATAATATATATATATATATATATACTTCGCTTCTTTATTCAATTATAGCAACCCACTTTGCTTCTTTGTTCAATTATGCAACTTACTTTGTTGTTTTGTCCATTTTCAACATAAAATAAATACTTATTCCTACCATTTCCATTCTAACCTATTATACAACATGTAGAAACATGCTTCCAACAATAATTTGACATATAAGACACAAATCAATGCATTTACATTATCAAATCTTTGAATCCTAATTTATTCCACTTTGTGACGTACAAGGCATGTACCTTAGGTTTTTCACCAATTCTTCTTGATTTTTTAGTACCATTATGACCAAATCTTCTATTGAAAATGATCCATACTCAAAATGTCTTAATCATATAATTTATAGGAATATTGACATGTTATCTCCTATTTTCTCTATTGGCTATTTCTTCCATTTTGTCCCCAAATATCTGAAGCACCCAATATATATATATATATATATATATATATATATATATATATATATATATATATATATATATATATATATATATATATATAGAGAGAGAGAGAGAGAGAGATAGCTAGGTTCAAATATTTCTAGCAAATATTGTGTGCATGTATGCACCAATGAGAATTAAGGAAATAATAAATCATTTAAAGATATTATAGTAATCTTTGCATATTTAATTATAGTAATTCTTTAACTTCCTAAAACCTAGTCTTCCCCCCTCTTTATCTTCAAACGATCGGCCATCACCATTTGTAGGGTTTCGTTTATACATTCCACCGAGTCACCCTCTGTGAAATCGATTTCCACCCTCGGTGAAATCGATTCACAACCGTATAACATCACCAACCATTCCCCTTCTTTCTCAAAAAACCATCATATGCAACTACCATTATCTTGGCTGCCGACCACTGCCACCATCATCTGCATCATCGATCACCACACACACATACACACCACCACCAAATTCTTCGTTCTTCAAGGAATCAAATGGCTTCAAGAAACTATGCAGGTACCGAATAGTTGTAGGTGTGCTCATAAATCCCGTATGGTGATTAATTTCACAGTGAAGAGATATATGAGGATTTTTTATTTGGGTGGTCGAGGACGTTATCCCACGAGTTCAAGATTTCGCATATCACCCTCCATGGATCTGTTAGTCCTTTTATCTCCATCTCGAGTTTAAATCCCTAATTGTCAAGAATCAAGATTTTGGGTTAAACTCCTTGAGCCTTCACCATCCATCGATACAAGTCCATACCACCATTTTTTTTTAATTTTTTTTATTTTAATAATATGAGTTTCTCACAAGATCATTGGTGGTCGATTGCTATGTATCAGGTATGTTTCTTAATTAGATTAATTTTTTATTCCAGTTATTTAATTGTTGTTTTTTGTTGTGAACTAAATTGAGATTCCGATTTTTTATTTTATTGTATGAAGTTGGAGTGTTCGTATAATTTGAATACTAGCTTAATCTTACGTGTAATTACTTTATAGTTGGACCATTATAGCTTTGATTACCATCCAATCTTACTTGCTTGGGTTACTGTGTAATCCAATAAATGGTCAAAAATTATATAAAGATTATTTTAGTGCTTCAGGTCAATTCTTATTTGAATAATCATATTATAATGTTCATTATACAAGATATTACGAGGTTGAATAAGATGATTGTTTGATATTTATTGTTTAATGTTTTTTCATGTACTATATAACTTAGTCTGTCGTCGATTTTTAACTATTGACTTTTTTTTTCTCTACTACATCTTGTCGTAATTGATAGTTTTTATTCTCTTAGAGAACACTGAATTTTTTAATATTTGAAACTTAATTATGTTTTCTTTATGGATTTAGGTTTTGAAGAGACTGCTATTTATGTGTAAAAGAAAGAAAACATAAAGAACGATATTATTCTAACAAAATGTATTCTGCCAGAATGTATAAAGTGATTCCTAACAACAATATTATTTCCGAATGTATAGTTTTATTCTTTTAGAATGCATTGAATTTAGAATGTTTATGGTGAATGTATAGAATGTTACTCATACATATTCGATTTCAAGGCAGTTATTCTCATAGAATGCTCAATTTTATGGAAGTTATTCTCATAGAATGCGTGAAAGGAATACAATGATCAAGTATCTAAAGGTTAGATGATGACATGTGGGATGAAGATGAACAATGATCAATGATCTTCACAAAAGAAAGCAATGGCAAAATAATTTATAATATTATGATAAGACTATATGTTATAGTATATTCTGCTAGAATATTCGGGTAGAATAATTTACAAATTATGTTTGTTTTGTTATTAGTGAGTGTTTCATTATCCTAGAATACTATATTAAGATTTTTATTTTTTAAGAATGTGATGACAAAAATTTAACTTGTATCAAATATTTGTTATTCTTAGAAAGTTCATTCAATCAAAAAATATTGTTATTTCGTTTCAAGAATGATATGAGCTGATATTCATTCTATAGGAATATGTATTCTAGCATTCAATATGTATTCTAGCATTCTCATAGGATATATCATTCTAACAATATGCCATCCTGACAGAATAAATTCGATTATTATAAAAAATGCATTAGAATTAAATCAATTAAAATTGAATTACTTTAAAAAATTGAAGTTATTAAAATTAAGAGAATTAATTATCCCTAAGTTTTCGAAAATTTCTTTTTTTTTAAATATATTTAATTATCCAAAATACCCTTATGCTGAAAATTATGTGATTATATGGTACATGCTATCTTACTGTATTATCATAGACTCTCAGATCA